CTGTACAAAAAAGAATTCATTTATGTTTAACTATTTCAAAAGGAAGCATATGATCAAGAACCGATGGTGTTGAAAGAAGATGTTTTAGCTGTACTGATGGTACTGGTGAAAAACAAGGCTCCAGGAATGAACAGAACACCAAATGAAATGTTTCAGCAAGCTGATACAGCACTGAAGGTACTTACTATGCCATGAAATTTGGAAGACATCCGTATCTGTGCCCATTCCAAAGAAAGGTGACCCAACAAAATGCAGAACTCATCACACTAAATCATTAATATCACATGCAAATAAAATTTTGCTGAAGACAATTTCAAAAACATTTGCAACAATACATCAACATGGTACTGCCAGAAATTCAAGATAGATCCAGAACAGGATATAGAATGAAAACTATCATTGTTGACATCAGATGGATCTTGGATTAAAGCCGAGACTACCAGAATGATGTACTGACTACACAAAGACAATTCACTGTATGGATCATTAAAAACAATGTAAAGAATGGAAATCCCAGAACAATTATTGTGCTAGGGTAGAACCTGTACATAGGTCAAGAAGCAGCCATTTGAACAGAACAAGGGAATACTGAGTGATTTAAAATCAGGAAAAGGTGTGCACCATGGTTGTATCCTTTCACCATACTTATTCAATCTGTATGCTGAACAACTAATCTAAAAAGCTAGACAAGAATACAGCAACAGGGTTAAAGTAAGGCTCTTTTAACCTGTGATTTGCAGATGACACAATCTTGCAGGCTGAAAGCTAAGAGGACTTGAAGCATTTACTGACTGAGGAAGCTCCAAGTCTATAACCTTTAGTATGGATTACACCTCAAAGTAAAGAAAAGGAAAATCCTCACATCTGGAGCAAAAAAAAGTAATATTCATGATAAATGGAGAAAAGTTTGAATTTGTCAAATATTCAGATTTATTTACATCCACAATCAAGGGTCATGGAAGCAGCAGTTCAGAAATAAAACAATGTACTGGATTGGGCAAATCTACAGCAAAAGACCTTTTTACAGTGTTTAAGAGCAGAGATGTCACTTTGAGGACCAAGGTGTGCCTGAACTAAACCATGGTATTTTCAATCACCTCATATGCATGTGAAAGTTGGGACAGTGAATAAGGAAGAAGACCACCACAAAAGAACCAATGCATTTGCATTACCTCATTAGCAAAGAATTGGCCCATCAACTGCTCTGCAGTAGATGGATTAGGTTTTCCTTTCCTACAAAAATGTACAGCCTTGGAAACCCTATACAGGGTCACTGTGAGTCAGAACAACAGTAACAAATGGCAAAGGAGAATGAATATATCACAGACTGTCAAAAGAATGAACAATCTGTCCTGGAAGAAGTACAGTCAGAATACTCCTCTGAGGCAAGAATGACAAGACTTCTTCTCATATCCTTTGGATTTGTTATCAGGAGGGATCAGATCCTGGATATGGACATCCTGCTTGGTACAGTAGAGGGTCATCAAAAATAGAGGAAGACCCTCAACAAGACAGAGTGATTTCAACAATGGGCTCAAACATAACAATTGTGAGGATGGCACAGAATCAGGCAGTTATTTCATTCTGTTGTATATAGGATCACTATGAGTCAGAACCAACTATACCTAACACAACAGCTAGTACACAGATATTCACTTGGATGAAAGGAAAGGCAGTATACAGTAAGGAGAGGTCAGCACAAAATGACCAAGGCAAGAATACACTAGGAGATGCCCAAGAGTAAAAGGAAACCATGGTAAAACTATTATATACACAATCCAACAATAACAGTAATAACACACAAAAATCTCTTAAATGGACATGGACATACAAGCTGAATAGGAATAAAGGTGAATGAGATTACACCTATGTGTATAAGTTCGATAGAGGATATTTCTATCTATGCATTTGTATGTGCTGCAAAGGAGTGCTGTTGGCATGTAGTGGGTTATGCACTGGGCTGCTTGCTAACTTCAACGTCAGCAGTTCAAATCCACCAGCTGTTTCATGGGACAAAGAGGAGGCTTTCAGCTCCCATAAAGATTTATAGACTGGAAAACCCTATACAGGGTCACTATGAGTTAGAATAGAACAGAGTCAACAGCACACACAGCAACAACAGGAGCTACAAATATGTACATGTAGTATACAGGAGCACATTCAGGGGGCAAGGTTTGAAAACTTGTTAGCCATAACCAAACACCTTGAGGGAATGAGTGATGACTGGGTTTAGGAGCTTAGGACCATAGTCTTGGACACAAATTGGAGATCAACTGGCATAACATAGTCCACAGAGACAATGTTTAATGTCTTAATTTAATGACTAGGGTCTTAAAAGCTTACAAGGAGTTCGCCAAGATGCAACTATTGATCTCTCTCTATCTGGAGGAAAAAATAGTGAAGAAAAGCAAAGACTCAAGGAAACAATTATTCCAAAGACTAATAATGGGCTACACAATCCACAGCTTACATGACTCTGAGAAAAGAAGAACTAGATGGTGTCCAGCTATCATTACTATCCACTCTGATCCTGGACGGAGAGGGAGAAAAAAAAAGGCAGAATAAAATTAAAAATCACAAAGACCAGACTTACTTGTCTGATAAAGATGGATGGAATCCTTGAGACTATGACCGTTAGACACCCTTCAACCTGGAACTGACCCCAGCCTCATGGATCACTTTGCAAGTAAACAATAGCTAGATATATAAAGTGAACAACAGTACCATTCCTGAGGAATGCACTCTTCGGTACAATCAACCACAGGAGACCAAAAGGGCAGCACCTGTCCAACAACAACAACGCTCAGAAGGCAGGAAGGGGCAGGAAAGAATGGAAACACAATTCAGGGAAGAGGTGGGGGGAGAGCTAGTACATTCAGGGAAGTGCAACTAACGTCATGGAACAAAATGTGTACATATCATTGAATGGACAACCAATTTGCTCTGTAAACGTTTGCCCAAACCATATTGAAATGGTTAATTCATTCATTAAATGATTTTTTGTTGTTGTTGTGCCAGTTTTTTAATTTGAAAAAAGGTTAATTGCACATTTAATGATTTAATTCAACTTGGGGTAAGTACTAAGAATGAAAAACATAGAGTGACCAGTCAGATCCTCTTAACAGCTCTCTGTCCTCAAGTATGGGTAAATAGTTATCATTAATATTTGTAATATTAAGGCATGTTAATTATAACATAAAATATTCTAAACAAATAGCAATTAGAATAATTATAATTAGCATAATAATAACTTGGCAAATGACTTTATGTCACTAGGTCAAGGAGGAAAAGGATGAGAATAAATGAGAAAGTCTAAATGTGTGAGAGTACATGGCAAATTAATGTTAAAGAATTTCAGTACTACTGCTGTATTCCTCCAAAGAGGAATATTCATTCATGTAGAAGTGTAACCACTGCCACTGAGCCAATTCTGACTCAGAGCAACCCTATAGTGAGAACTGCTTCAGAAGGTTTCTTTATGCGAGAAGACGGCCTCATCTATCTCTAGTGGAGCAGCTGGTGGGTTTGAATCACCAACCTTGCAGGTATTAATCCACCACACCAGTAGGGCTCCTTGGTATGTGCCGTCCAGTTGGTCCGACCCTGTGTAGGGTTTCTGAGGAACAGCTGGTTAAGTTTGAACTGCTTATCTTGCAGTTCAAACCGACCTTATGGTCCAATGCTTATCCGACAGCACACACCAGGACCTCAGAGATCATCTATATGAGACACCCCAGAACGGAAGGACAACCTAGCTACCAACACAAGCAGAGATTTATACCTCTGAAAATATACCCCATGATTTCTCACACTGATCTAATTTCAAAGACTTAATCTCTGAAAAAGGAGATCTGGTAGCATAGTGGTTACGAATTGGGCTGCAAACCGCAAGGTCAGCATTTCGAAACTACCAGCTGTTCCACGGGGGCAAGATGAGGCTTTCTGCTCCCCTAAAGATTTACAGCCTCAGAAGCCCTGTACAGGGTCACTATGAGTTGGAAGCAACTCCACGGTACACAACAACAACAACAATCTCTGAAAATACCCTGGAAATGTCAATACTTTGAAGTTTAAACCACATTTCCAAGAATAATTCTTGAAATTAGAGACAATACAAAAATCCTAATCAAGAACCTTGCTGAATTTTAAAAATAAGGTCACTATGTTCAAAGGGTACTACTAAATGGTAAGAAATGAACATCTTTCATCAAAGTCTGATGGCAGAAACTAGGAATCCAGAAGCTCAATTGGCTTCAAAGTTACCATAATGAGATATGCTTGGATTCTTATCAAATGAAAACTCATGAAAATGTAACTTTAGGATGTGGAAAGATGGGCATTTGTTCCATCAAACATTTGTAGTTGCTCCATGCTTCTCTCCCTATCAGAGCTGATGATTCCAATTAATTTGACAAAGTATATCTATTTAGTTAAGGAAAAACTATATAAAATTAAAATTCTATTCCCATTGGTATCTCCTTGACAGGTCACAGAACAAAAGACATGTTGAGCAATTATACAAAATGAGTGTTGTAGGAATTCAGAGTGGTGATAATACAGCCAACCTCTGATGGGAATGTAACTTGGTTTCGCTTTCATTTTTGCTGTCCCAAAAAGCTTATAATGAAGAGTATTTTCAATTAAAGAGATGACAAACCCAGAGCACTTGTGCTCTGACTGCCCTTCACTGTGCCTACACGATCGATCTTGCACTCTTTATTACAAGCTTGGCTTGAGAGGCCAGCTTAACAGAGTTCCAAGTATCCATTACCCATGAACTGAAGCTTAGCTAGATATCTTAGCTGATCTTCACAAGAGGTATTCTATGACATCAAAAATATCCCATCTTACTTTAGCTATGGTCATTGTTTGACAGTGCCAAGAAACAGATGGAATGAGAAGAAATATAAGGTCAAAGCCGACACTGAGTCAACTACATTTGTTCCCTCGGTTTTCATCACTTGTACATCACACAGAAGACCATTCGCTTAATCACTGACCTTATGAAGAGCAGGAGCCAAGACCGGAACCAAGAATCCATTGTAAATGTAATTGACAAGCTGACTGCGAATCAAGGGGTGAGCCACCTAAAAGAGACACAGCCATGAGAAGGGCAAAAAGTTAAATATTTAGGTCATCTAAAGTCAAACGTTTCTATGTACACTCTGAATTCAGAAAGGAAATGAAATTTTGACTTAATTTAGTCAATGGCTGAAGAATAATTCAGACCACAAACTGCCATGTTATTTCCTCCCTACCCGCCCCCCACCGCCGAGGGATAGTTCCAGTATAAACAACTTGGATAAAATTTGCTGAAGTTGGACTTTCAAATTCCAAAACTTTTAAAGTTTCTACTGGAAAATATTGTTGTTAAGTGCCATCTAGTGGTTCTGACCCACTAGAGGGTTTCCAAGGAGTGACTGGTGAGCTTGAACCACCAACCTTGCAGTTCAAACCGATAAAGGAGCTCTGGTTGCGTAGTGGTTACGAATCAGGCTGCGAACTGCAAGGTCAGCAGTTCGAAACTACCAGCTCTTCTGTGGGAGAAAGATGAGGCTTTCTGCTCCTGTAAAGATTTACAGCCTCAGAAACCCTGTACAGGGTCACTATGAGTCGAAACTGACTCCATGGCACATAACCACCACCATCACCACTGGAAAAGAGCAATAATAATAATAAACTGAGTGTTTTTGTTGTTGTTATATGCTGTCAAGTCTATTTTGACTCACAGTAATCCTTTATGACATAGTGGAACTGCCCTAGAGGGTTTCCTTGGCTGTACTCTATTGGAACAGATCACCAGATCTTTTCTTCTGTGGTGCCACTGATGGGTTTACAGTGCTGACCTAGAGTGGGTTAGCAGTCAACCAAATTTGCCACTGCACCACTAGGACTCTTTCTGAATATGTAAAAGAATTAATAAATTTAAGCTTAAAATTATAATTTTTGCCCCTTAACTTCTTCTAGGTCCATCTCAATTTGTGAATAATTTAAATAACAATAACTACCAAAATAAACAAGTAAATGTATTTATTTTGCTACCAGAAAGCTTTTCTCATTTTAAAGATGCATCTTCCAATCATACTTTCTTTGGGAGAGGAAAGCATTTAGAAAAGCTTCCCATGAAAAAAACTGATACTGTTCAGAAACAGAAAACATTACCAGAGTTGCAAAACTTCCTATCGTTAATTTTCAAAATATATTTGGCATGGTTACTGAAGTCCTCATGTGGCACTGTGGGTCAATGCACTGGACTGCAAAGTCAGTATGAAGCACAAGGTTGGCAGTTCAAGCTCACCAGCTGCTCTTCAGAAACCCTACACAGGGTCGGTAATTGGCTGGAATCAACTTGATAGCATTTAACAACAATCCTTTACTAACATCCCATACAAACAAAAAAATTTAAGTATATGGCTTCAATTTTAAAATACGGTCTGAAATATACAATTTCCCTACTGTTGCCCCTTGCCTGTCAGCTTTGCTTCTCTTCCTTGAAAAAAATCATAAAGTCAAACAATAAAGTCTAAAGCAATTTCTAAAGAAATGAGACTAGATCTTTAAATTACTGATAATCTCGTCTTGTGAGTGCATTAGGGGAGGTAGTAACAGTAGTTCCATCTTTTTTATTTCCACACAATTCTGCAAAAAAATGTTGCTAGATTGCAATATTAAAAAAAAAAAAAGGCAACTTAAAATGTAATTCATTTATCGTATATATAAGTAAAACTTCCTTTGACTTAGCAATAAAAATGAGATGGGAGCTCAAGTAATTTGCTGGCACTTTCTTTCAGAAGCTATTTCTTTATTTTGTAGATAAAAAGATTATACCTAGCATTTTTTACCCTATAATCACCATAAAGAAAATTCAATTTCATATTAAGACCAAAATTAAAGTAATATTTATGTTGCATAGAAATAAAACAATTGTTTATGGAAACCTACAACATAGCCTTAAATATGAATGCAATCTGCTTTTTTCTTATTGGAAACGGTAACAAGAAATGTGAAGGTAAAAATCTAATCAAGAAGCCAAATATACAAGAGTTCAGCGGTTGTATTTTTTCCCCCTAAGCAGGCCAATTTCAAAGCAAATTTAATTTGTGTTTGCTAAGAAGATGCTTAACTTCTTCTAAATTCAATTGGGATAACAATATTCTTTATGTAGTATGCACCATTAAGCAAAATAAAGTGTTTTCCTTTGTAGACTACCAAGAAGACCTTGAAATAGAAGTGGTATAATTTGGAGTACTTAGAAGGCTAAAAATACCTATCTAAATGAGTCAGACACTGAACTTATTTTTGATAGCTAAGTGGATAATCTAAACAGAATTAACACTTTTTATAAACAAGATAAAGAAAATCTAATTTTTTTCTCAATTAAAACTTCCCAGAAACCTATAAACTAACATTCTCACTCATCCAAGGGCATTCAGTATGCTTAAAGTAAGGCATAACTATTCCATAAAAAAGTGTTAAAATAAAAAGTTAAGGCTTATACTAATCCTTTGCAATCCTCATATTCCAGATGAGACGACAGTAAAGGGCTCTGTTACTGTGCTCTGGTACCTGTATGACTGCATTACAGAACTCCAGGGAATTCATGAACTGGACGAGAGATGGGAGCAGGAGCCAGTCATCCTTAAGAAGACAGTGCCATTCTTCACCTTTTTCTTCTAGCTTGGTAGGCAGGGAAGAGTAGAGCCCACTGAGCCCAGTTGCAAGTACCTATGTTCAGAAATAAAAATACAGTGATTCTTTCCCGAAGTTCCTAACTTCGCAGCAAACAGTTCCCAGGTGCCACTGGTCCAAAGACAGACCTTTAAGATGGCTAGTGCCATCGAGTCAGTTCCGACTCATAATGACCCCATACAAGGTTTCTGAGGAGCAACTGGTGGGTTTGAACCACTGACCGTGTAATTAGCAATCCAGTGCCTAGCCTACAGAGCCACACTAATACTTTAAATGGCCAGGTATTAAAGGGTATCAACTGGTTAGGACAGATCCAACATGCGGAGGGTAACTGCAGCAGCACCACAGCTATTTGACAACCATACACGTGGGAGGATTGTTGTGGTGGTGGTTGTTGTTAGGTGCCATCGAGTCAGTACCGACTCATAGCGACCTTACGCACAACACAACGAAACATGGCCCGGTCCTGGGCCAACCTCACTACTGTTGCCACACTTGAGCCCATCGATGCTGCCACCTGGCCAATCTATCTCGTTGGAGGTCTTCCTCTTTTTCTTTGCCCATCCACCTTACCAAACATGCTATCCTTATGGGATGCTAATGCGCTAAGGTTAGAATATATGAGCGGAACACACATAAAAATGAATATAACATGATACCTGCCCCCAAGGGGTTCAGGAAAGGGACAAACTCATGCACAACTCTTTATAGTACAAGACAGTGAGTACAAAAAACAGAAAAGGCACATGTTCCCATCTACAGGAGGGAGCCCTGGACCAACAGAGTTCAGAACAGAAGGTCTCACAGGAGGTAACCATTGAGTAGTTTCTTGAGAAAGATTTCCAGCAGCCATATGAAAGGTCATGACAATGGTCCATTGCTTGCTTACAGTTTAGAAAAACACATTCATATACAGTATCCTATATGATCTTCAGAAATGGTAGTAAGAACTGGAGGGGTGGGATCCATCAGGTGGGATGGCAATTGTTCAAGCAGGCCCAAAGAGATTCTCCACTGAAGCATAAAGCAGGAAGAACAGAGAAGAAAAGATAGTGTATGTGAAGGTGATCCTGCCATGGCATCTACCATTCTAGTATTAATAAAGAGCTTGTGAGTTTTCCTTCCTGCCTCATTCCTCTGTGCCTAACATTAAACTGACAGCATTTGGACTTGATAGGTGTAAGCAAGCAAGAATTTTAAAATGTCAAGTTATCCAGGTTGTAAATTAGGAAAATGATAACGTCTTCTTATTTTCCATACAATTGAGATGGAAATGTAGAAAAGAAGCACGCTTCTTGGTTATGGTGACACCTTGTTTACTTTATCTTACAGAGCATAAGGTCAGGGCAAACAATGAATTCCATTACACTAGAGGACTCTGGACTGGGAGTAATGCAGGTCAAGCTGCACTGTCTAAAGATGCTGATCTGGTAGATGGTCAGGAATGGCACAGAATGGAGGCAAGTGAATTAGCTACAAATACATGGACTGTTAAGGAGTCCTGGTGTGGCGCTGTGGGTTAATGCACTGGATTGCAAAGTCATTTGAATCCTAAGGTCAGCGGTTCAAGTTCACCAGTCACTCCTTGGAAACCTTATATAAAGTCGCTATGAGTTGAAATCGACTCGACAGCACTTAACAACAACAACATGGACTGTAAAGTCGTTTGAACCACAAAGTTGGTGGTTCAAGCTCACCAGCCCTTCCTCGGAAACCCTATACAGGGTCTCTTTGGTTTGGAACTGACTCAACAGCACTTACCAACAACAATAACAGTGCAAGCCTGAGGTTACGAGAGACCCAAAAGAGGTCTAGTGTGTCTGTAACAGAAATACCACAAGTGGGTGGTTTTAACAAACAGAAATTGAATCTCTCATAGTTTAGAAGCTTACACATCCTAATTCAGGGTGCCAGCTTTAAGTGAAGGCTTTTTCCCTCTGTAGGCTCTTGGAGAAGTTTCCTATCTCCTTTCAACATCTGTGCGCCATTCCTTAAGCTCTCCACGTATGTTACATCAATCTTGTTCTGGGTCCAGGTTCTCAGCACAGGGACGCTGGATCCATGGTCAAGAGGACACAGTCGACTTCTAAGCTCATCCTTCTTGGTGGTAGTAGGTCGCTGCTTCTTGGTTTGCTTCTCTCTTCTTTTATCTCTTGCAAGGTAAAAGGCCATGCATGCCATACCCCATTGAAATTTCCCTTACAGGATCAGGGCTGTGACCTGAGTGAGGTTGTTACAACATACCTTCATTTCCTTGCAACTGACTGGTTGATCAAAGCAGATTACATCACTGGGATGATCACATCATTATATAAATGTCAAACCACTGAGAACCAGGGTCCAGCCAAGATGACACATACACATATTTTAGGGAGACACAATCCAAACCATAACATATGGAAACATTCAAGAAAATACGTGGGAGTTTCCAAAAGTTTGTGGAAAAATTTAATTGAAAGATAATGGAATTTTTCCACAAAATATTTTAAGCCCCTTCATATACTGTTGTTGTTTTTGCTGTTGTTGTTGTTGCGAAACACCATCGAATCAATTCCAACTCATAGTGACCCAAGGCATAAAAGAACAAAACACTGCTATCTTTACAATTGTTGTTACACCTGAGCTCATCGCTGCTGCCGCTGTGCCAATTCATCTCATTGAGGGTCTTTCTCTTTTTCACTGACCCTCCACTTTACCAAACATGATGTTCTTCTCCAGTTGGTAGTCCCTCCTGGTATGTCCACACTATGAGAGATGAAGTCTCACCACCTGGCTTCTAAGGAGTATTCTAGCTATTTGGATTCCAACACAGGTTTGTCTGCTATATTAATATAACAATATACTGATATGCGTATACTGGTGTGGTGCTGTGGATCAGCACTGGACTGCAAATCACAAGGTTGGCAGTTCAAACCCACCAGCTGGTCCTTGGAAACCCTATACAGGGTTGCTATGAGTCAGAACTGACTAGACGACACTTAACAACAACAACATACTGAGGTAGGCCCAAAAAGAAATGGTGAAGTACTCACAGATTTCACTGTCTAGAGTACACAGCAGAAGTTACATGGGGCCGTGAGTGCACAGAAACTTGGGGTTTGGCAAACAGAAAATGTTTACAGAAGAAGTGATGTCCAAGATGAGATCTACAGGATAAATAGGGGCTAACCAGAAAAAAAGTATTGGAAGGAAGAGTATTCTAAGTAGAAGAAACAGTATATATAAGAATTCAAAAGGGAGAGAAAATATGGCACCTTCCAGGGACTAAGGGAAGTTAAGTATTGTTGAATTAGAGGTGGAAAGAGGTTGGCAAGGTAAGCAGGAAGCAGATCATGCCCAGTTTTGTGGGCCAGGATAAACAGCTTGTCAGACACCTACAAGGAAAGTCCAATAGACAGATGTGTGGATCTGACACTTACAAGAAAGATCTGGGTTGGAGATGGAAATCTAGAGGCATCCATTCATACATGATACCTCAAGTCATACAGAACAAAAAGAGAAGGAAGCAAGAGGTATTACAAAGTGATCCATAGCACTTGGCATAGGAAACAGAAAGGAGGTACAGATGAGTTACACATAGTCACTTGAGTTGGAGATGCTCGGAATACTTCTCACGAATTCCCATCCTGGAGACACACCTAACTAAAGAATGAAGTCCAAGAACCTGGAGGTCTTAGAACTGAGAAACCAATTAAAGATATGGGAGCTAAAAGAAAATCAAAACAACAACAAAATGAGTAAAAAGTGTCAGTCAAGAAGAAAAGGTAACTAATTTGTCTTAAAGGACACAACCTTCTGGAACACATGCATTTAGCAAATGGATGAACCTACCATGAATCATGAAGAGTGGTGAAATACAAACAGTACAGTCCTGAAAGAAAGAAAGGGAAAAAAACAAACAACAAAAAAAAAAACCTACTAGATTATATACAAGCACTTTATCTGTTATGTTTCCTAGTGATCATTATGAACTCATTCATTTATTCTCTCACAGAAAACACAATACTGAGGACCCACTTCCCGGCAGATGACGCAACCTTGCTTAAGAAAACAAGAGGGTTTTCTAAAGCACTTACTGATGACGATTGAAGACTACAATCTTTACTACGGATTATAACTCATTATCAAGGAAAACAAAAATCCTTACAAGTGGACTAATAAGTGTTATCTTAACAAATTCAGAATAGACTGAAGTTGTCAAAGATTTCCTTTTACTTGGACCCACTATCAATGCCCATGGAAGCAGCAGTTGAGAAACCAAATGACATATTGCATTGTCATTTTGAAGCTGTGCTTCACAAGACCTCTTTCAAGTGTTAAAAACCAGAGATGTCACTTTGAAGACTAAGGTGCACTTGACCTAAGACATACTATTTTCAATCTCCTCATATGCATGCAAAAGCTGGGCAATGAATAAGGAAGACCAAACAAGAATTGATGCATTTGAATTATAGCACTGGTGAAGAATACTGACTATACCAGAAGAATGTACAAATGCTCCTTAGAAGGGAGGATGGTGAGACATTGTTTCACATACTTGAGACATGTTATCAGGAGAGACCTGTCTCTGGAGAAAGAAATCAAGCAAAAAATAAGAAGACAACCTTCAAGAAGATGGACTGACACCGTGGCTGCAACAATAGGCTCAAGCATAGCAAATTTGTGGCGATGGTGTAGGACCAGGCAGTGTTTTGTTTTGTTGTTAAGTCGGGCCGCTATGAGTCAGAACAGCGTCAATGGCACCAACACCACCACTTCTGACCAATTGCTTATTCTGGATGCTGAGCATACAACAGTAAACAAGTCTATTTATCTCTTTTTCAGAATCAGGGCATCAGTGGTCCCAAAGGAGACTGTCCCCTATTTAAAGTATTTAACTCCTTGTAAATGTATCCACTTTAATTCCAGTTATGAATGTGACCCAAGTAAGATGCCTGTTATGTATTAGAAACCTCTGGCAAGAGAGAACAGAGACCAAAAGTTCTCCTTGAAGAGAAATCTAATCTTGATGCCACATTTTAAAAATCAATTACATT